CTGCGGGGTAGGGAAGCCGCCACTTCACAACTGATTGGGCCAGGAGGAGGCGGTGGTAGTCACAGATATAAACAGGCTTCGGTGAACCGGGATTACTCCAAGCCTGGGATCCTCACTAATCTTCAGTCAGATTGCCGCTGACACTCCCCCTCCCGGCTTAAGTGGCAGCCGCTCTTGGTTGAAAGCTGCCGAGCATCGTTTCCGCCCCTAGTCCCGCTAATGTGGGGAGACACGAGAGAGCAGTCACATGACCACCGATAAAAGATATAAATAAAGCTATTTACAGTCCTGTTTTATGATCTAGTACAAGGCATGTTAGGTGAAAGTGTATTGATTCTATTATTTATATACGCATACAGGGCTAATTTAAAACAGGAGCCAATGAACCTACCAGCATGTCTTTGGAGTGTTGGACCTGAGTACCCGAAGGAAACCCACACAAGCACAGGGAAGAACATGCAAACTCACTGCAGATAGTTTCCTGACCAGGTTTTGAACCTGGGACCCCCCGAGCTGTAAGGCAGAAGTGTTAACCATTAAGCCACTGTGCTACCAGGTCTAGTCCTAGCCTGTTTTTGGATAGGAGAGGCAGCAAACTGATGAGTTTGTCTCTCTGTCACTCTGCTCCCTCCTTCTATTAGCGTGTCCCTTGTTAGCACATGACAACTGTAGCACAATTGATTGACTTCTTGTGGTGCCTCTTTGTCTCGGTCTGAGTTCTGCTGTACAGTGGACTTGAAGAGGCTGATACCGGGTAACATTCAGGTACTTCCCACAGAATACATCACCACATACCTCCACATCTGATTCTCAGTATAGCTTCTTTGTGCATAACTGGTTGCTTTATCATGTGTATCTGGAAATATTTTTCATTGTTGAGTTGTGCTTGTTCCTCCAGGATGTCACTGAGCTGGATCAGATGCCATGGTACTGTGACACTGAAGAGTTTTGCTTCACCAAGGAAGAACATGAGAATAACATAGAGGAAAATGCAGATCACAAAGTGCTGTCAGCAGTCATTGAGAAAACTGTAGTTCCCAGAGTTTCTGGTAAGACAAACTTCATCCAAGGATGCTCTACATACACTGTGGGGTGCAGATCCAGAAACTGCTTTACAGCACGATGGTTTCTCATCTCTCCCATAAAAGAGAATTTCATTGTAAGTGAAACGTTATCTTTGCAGAATTTGTGTACATCACCCCCGTCCAATACAACATGCACACTGACTGCATGATTCTTTCAGGGGCAGAACATTTTCCTATTGCATCCGCCCACACAGCCACGCCATCCATTCGCAGATCCTTTGACAGGATCTGTGAATGGGGAAACTTCAAGTTCCATCAGCCACTGGGGCAGAGGGGCCTATAGATCACAATGGTGACATCAATGCACCTATAGTCCACTGAGGGGTCTGGAGGAGCATTGCATCCACTAATCACGGTTGCAATGCTTTACTGGCTCTATTGCAAAAATAGAAATATAATAAATGCTCATTTATTTCTTTTATGAGGAAGTATGTTAGGAGTTAGGAGAACTGTAGGCAAATATAAAATATTCACATTTATACTTTGTGTCTATTAAAACCACCTTTTAAATGTATTTTTAAACAGTACCTTTAGGCTGTCCTGTAATTCTCTACACAGCAGGATTCAGCCTGGGAGAAACACAGGCGGTTCTGTAAGCCAATCAAGCTTTACTACATTACTCAGCATACTGAGAGCTTGCTGATGGGAGTTGAGAGCAGAAGGTTCAGGAAAGCAAGTGTCGCTGCTCCTTCACTATTCATTTGAAGCTGGGGCAGTCTCGCTTTAACTGGAGTAGAGAAAAGTGAGGTCAGATCTTGACGTGTGCAAGGATTAGAAAACTAGCTGAACCAAATGCCATATACTTGGCAGGTAATATACTTCACATGTATTTCAGCTGAGTGCCTAAAGTTACACCTTTTTAAGGTATCTAAAACATTTATGTAATTGTTGTTACTCTGCTGTTTGCGTGATGACATTAATATTTAAGGTGACATGTCATTCATTCCAGGTTTTATTGAACATGTGTGGGATCCTTTGTCTTCGCAGCAAACAGAAAGGCTGGTGTGTTTCTGCAAGACATACGTCCTGGAGAATGAGTCCAGCAAGACGGTTAAGGTGAGATATGGAATATGGCTGTTCCAGTTCTGTGTGTCTTCACTTTATTTACAGTGTACATACAAGAACGATTTGTATTGCTGTCTGGTGGAAACAAATCTTTTCTTCTTTGCCAGATTACATATTGCCCTCACAGCCTTTGAAGCCACATACACAGGGATAAGGTGAAAAAATAAAGATAACTTTCCTCTTTAAGGCCTCATACACTCAGTCCCTGGAGATTCCTGTGCCAAGAACCCGGGGATTCTTGCAGCAGGAATCCCAGGTGCATCTGTATAGATGTGGCTGCTGTGCCAGTTTAGGGGAGTTGTATAAAGGCTCGAGCATCTGTCCCAATTTGCAGGTTGTACGATGTATGTACGATTACATTTGAACAGCCACGGACAGATGTGGCCCCTGCCAGCCTACCATTAACTTGAATGGACTCAGCAGCTGCATCTGTACAGACTCACCTTGGATTCCTGCTGCAAGAATCCGCAGGTTCTTGCCACTAGAATCACCAAGAGGCACATAAAAAGCCCTGTGTACAAATCACAACAATACATTATACAGCAATGCAGAATATCACCAGCCATAGAGGACTACAAATCCCAGAAATACATTATACAGCAATGGAGAATAATATAAAGCTGGATACTCTGTGTTGCTCGGGGGTGGTAGCCTGATGTCTCCAGAATCATAGGAGGGCTGTGCTGCATCTCAGGTGGTCTGTGCTGGGTCTCACCAGTGGACTGGAGGGTCACTCGAGCAGTGCGGTTCTCCAGGAAGGAGGAAATGTGAGGCTGGCACTGACCTGTAAATGCAATGTTTCGGAGACACTTTGCCTGACGAAGGGGTCCTGTAAGGCTACGACACGTTGCATTCACATGTCATGCTAAAGGAATACAAATAAAGATGATATTCCGAAGCAGAATGGTGTGTGGACAACATCTTCTAGATTGTATACTGTGGCGCCATCCACTAGTTGTTCCAGGAAACCCATTGGATTCTGGGGTGTAACGGTACGGTGTGCGAAGGGGATATTACAAAGAAAGAAAAAAAAACTGGTGCTGTAAACAGTCACCACAGTTCACAGGAAGGCTGCTGAGGTCCCCAGTATGCGTGGGACTTCAGGCAGCCACTTCCGTTTAAAAAAAATAAGAGTTCCGGTAATGGCGCCTATTATCGGGGCATTTTTACGGGTGCTTGTGAAAATGCTAAGTATTGGCACCAATACCGACATTGATATCAGTTAATCACTTAAAGGAATTATGCTAATCTAGGCAGGGTTCAGAAAAGAATGGAAGTCCTCCTCTATCCAGGCCTGCTCTGCCTCCCACCCTCTGCTATAGCTGTGGCTCCTGATGTGATAGTAGGACACTGATGTGAAGGGGACACTGAGGAATCTGATGTGACGAAGGCTCCTAGTGTGAGAGGGGAGACTCTGATTTTAAACGAAGAACCCCACTTTTTTTTGCATGGGGCCCTCCCTTAAAATCCATACCAGATCCCTATCTTGGATAAAGTTCTGTTTCTTTTGCGGTGCTTCATGATTTTGTATACTTTGTAAAGGTACCATGACTGATGAAAGGTTGAGAAACTCTGTTCTACACTATTCTTATGCTGATAATGTATTCTTGTACTAGGATCTCATCGCTTGTCTGGATTCAAGGCTAAGAAAAGCCATTGAAGATGATATTTATATTCCTCTTTATCCCAAAAGGTACGGTTTTTATTAATTGTATTAAAACTAGAAGAAAGGAAAAATGTGATGCCTGTACCATTCGGGCAGGTCTGAAAAAACTGACTGAAGATATATTGGGAGGAATTTATCAAAACAGGAGCAGAGAGAATCTGGAGCAGTTGCCCATGGCAACCAATCGGCACATCTCTTCCGTTTGCTCGTGTAAGATTTGAATATGAGACGGAGAAGCTGATTGGTTGCAGTGCAAATCTGCTCCAGATTTCATAAATTCCCCCCATTGAGTGTAAAACTAGGCTCGGCTAGTTTGTATTTTCTACCAAGGTTCAGGCTATTTATAGTTGTCCACCTCTAACTGTGAGAATGAGCAAAAATGCATTTGTTTAGATTGCCTTTGTTTTATTTATATCCCAATATTTTGGCTCTCTTGGGGTGGTTTCTTAGTGGGGGTGAGGAAAGCTCCGAAATCAGAGAAGTTATGGCTTCGGTTTGCACGTTCATCAGCGATATGGGAGAAGTGTTCTGTGGGTATGCAAAGAGATTTGATTTGACTAATCATGAAATATATTATAAATTAAGCAATTATAAAATACATGCTTTGTATTTGCAACATTATGTGACCGCTGGAAGGGTTCCAGGTCCAAAAAAGGTCACAGAGGAAGTACATTTGCGGGGGGGGGGGGCGACTTAGTGCAAGACAAGGATTTGGGATGCAGCCATTTTTTGGGTGTGGGTTTTA